ATATTTTACGTCTTTACTTTAAAATTGAACACATAGTTATTCATTACAAAATTAAATATGTCTGCACTCATGAAAGAAGTTGTTTATGCACTCTGAAAAAATGAAGTGTTGAATTACTCAACCAAGTCATGTCAACTGGTTTCACTAAACCCAGTAGAGTAAATCTGAGGCGATGTACAAATGCATTTTGTGTATTTAATTTACTCAACTTGGTTTAGTGGAACCAGTTTGGTTAAATAAATTCCACAGTTTATTTTTTAGAGAGTGTGTAAAAGTATTTTCTTTTACTTTCCTGATTTTGTGAACAGTTTTATGACTTTTACTTAAGTACTTTTCTCATCAGTGAAATTTATATTTACCAAAGTCGTTTTCTGTTTAGGTGTTTTTACTTTTATTTAGGTATTTTTTCCAAGTACTTTATAGTCCTCTGGTATTGGGTTCTGGGCATGTCCCACTGGAGGGGGACCCAGGACACGCTGAAGGTCAGCTGGCCTGGGAACACCTTGGGATTCCCCCAGAGGAGCTGGCCCACGTGGCTGGAGAGAGGGAAGTCTGGGTCTCTCTGTTCAGGCTGCTGCCCCCGAGACCCGACCCCAGATAAGAGGAAGATGATGGTTGGTTGTTTGGTTGGTATTGGGGTACACATACTTCAAGGAATTTTAGGCCTTTTGTTATAATTAAACTTTTGTCTTGCTTGAATGTGATAATGTTCCTACGTAAAAATAATTTTACATTATTGCCTCCTAAGTAGTAATATCAAATATTTTGTTATAATAAAAAAGTTGCAAAATCATAAAAGTTTAAAAGTATAACTACAAACCAAACTTTGGTTATAACACAAGACAAGTTTAAAGTAAATAAAAGTTTTTTTTTATTTATGTTAGCAGCAGTTCACTGCTGACTGTCTGTTTAAGAAMATCTGGGATCAGGACACTGCTACTTATGAGTACGTAATGATTATTAGTTATTAGGTTTTACTTTTTCAAACATTTAACTTATCTCACAAATTAGAGGTCACCTCAGATKTTGGTTACTAAAATGTGCTTTTGAACTATGGGAGATGTGAACACATATTGACTCGTGAAATACAGATCACTTCAAAGAAACTATTTTAAGACTGAAAAAAAAATAAAACAGTTCAAAGGCGTCTGTTTTTCAGGGAACTCCTTTCATCTTCCTGATAACTGACCTACATCTCAACATCCATAATAACTTCTGAAATCAATGCTTATTTTCTGCAGTTTTCCCAGAACTAACTGTCAAACCTCTGACAAATCGTCTTACTTCAGCTCCTGAGCGATGGCAGCGATCTGCTCCACTCTGTCCTGGTGAGCGGCGAGGTCGCTCTCGAAGGCCTCGTGCTTCCTCATCAAAGCTCTGATCTCCATCAGAGAAGCCGACTCGTAGTCCTTCTGGGACAGGAGGTCCTCCTTACCTGAAACACACACGTGGATTTGGAAACATTACAAGAAAACGTTCCAACACACACTGATGTCATGTCAGGACCTTTGGGTTTTCTCCTTGATTCATTTTGTTCACATTAAACAGTTTTATCACTAATCTGCTTGGACCTACTTCACTTTTTTAAAGTAATATCAAAACATATATATTTTTATTCCTGTTTCTGCTGTAAAACAAGCCGACAGCCAGGGAAGCGATTAAAATAAATCACTCTAGTTGCATTGTTTACCATGGCTTCCTGCTGTCTCTACCTGCAGTCCAGGACTCGTGCATGGCACACTTCTGCTTGAACTTCTCAGCCAGGTGGTCCAGTCTCTCCAGACGGCGGATCTCGGTCAGCAGCCACTCCTCGTAGCCCTTCTCCACCTGCTCCAGACCCTTCCAGGCGTTGGCGATATCCTAAACGACGAGATTAGGTTTTTAATTTTATTTAATTAATTTAATTTGATTAACAGTTGCTTTTAACTGTCCCTTTTATGTGTTTTAATGTGTTTTTATGGGTATTTGGGTGTGTTTATGCAAGTATGCTGTTGTTGGAGCCCTGGCAAAGAAAAAATTCTGTCACCAYATGGGACAGATAATAAAGCTATTCTATTCTATTCTATTCTATTCTATTCTATTCTATTCTATTCTATTCTATTCTATTCTATTCTATTCTATTCTATTCTATTCTACTCTATTCATTACTGTCGAAACAAAAACACATTTAATATCTTGTTTAAAAAAATACTCAGAAATACATTGATGGTGCCCCTTATTTCCATTTTACAGTTAAAAAAGATTTTAAAAAAACTAGAGAATTGCATTTCCTGCAAAAATGCTAGTGTGAATGCCTGTTGCTGAAAGCTGCTGAAATTGAGCTGAACATGTTCAATAGCAAAAGTATTATTTTAAGTTAAACTTGGAAATCTGAAAAAAGCAAAAAAGAAGCAGAAAATCAGCAAAAATGAGCAAAAAATTTAGCTTAAATAGCAGAAAAAAAGCTAAAATTAGCACAAGGAAGTTAAAAAGAGCATAAGCAGAACAAACTGTAAGGTTTTGTAAAGATTTAGGAAAAATTTGAAAGATTTTTAAGGATGTTGAAAATTGCTCCAATCATTTTCAATGGTAAAAAGTGGCTAAAAAAGTAAAATAGCTGAAAAAAAGTATATATATATATAGCAGAAATACCCAAAGTCATAGCTGGAATGTCTCAAATGAGCTGAAGGTTTTGATAAATAAATTGTTGAAGTAGCATAGAAATTGTGGAAAGAGAAAKGTGCCAAAAAACGTACGKAAGAAAAAAAARATCTCAGTGTGAATGCTGTRAGGCCGATGATGGAAGCCCTCACATGTTTTAGACAAATCAAGATAACCCTRTTGTTCTTCCTGTTTTGTTTGCTTGCTGTGCTTCGCTCACCGACACCATCTTGCCCTCAGAGGGCATGAAGGCAGGCCTGTTGCTCAGTCTCAGTTTAGTCTGCAGGGTGTTGAAGTTGATCTCCAGCTGGCACTTCTCCTGCACGCGCGGCGGCTTGTGGACGCGACGGTAGTCCCGGAAGTCCTCCAGCTTCTGCTGCATGGCACGCATGGTCTGCTCGGCCACGCGGTTCTCCAGCCAGGGGATGGTGCGGCGGATCCACTCCAGCAGCTGCAAAAACAGTCACCCAACTGTGAGGRTTTTCAGGAAAGTTCAGGAGTTTCAACTGCTGATTTGGGGTTTTAGTTTTATCTTTTTTTAGCAAGATAATCATAGTTGATAAGATGAAGAAAAGTTGATATTTTCGACTTGAAAGTGCACAGATGAGTCCCATCATGTGTGAGTTTTAGAAGAAGCCGTGGCTCTCACCTCACTGGCCAGCTTTTCATATTCCTCCATCAGCTTCTCGTTCTCCTGGTTCACTGCCAGCACCTTGCAGATCCGGTTGGCAGCTGTCTCAGCCTGAAAAACAGCAGAAAAAACAGGTTTTTGCCCTGCTTGGATGTAGATTTAAGCTTTATTAGATTATACTAATAACACTTTTGTCCAAATAAAAACTAGTAACAACTATTACCCAACTAAAATTTATGACTCCTCCATTAAAGTAAACAGTGTCTAACCTGCTCGGCTCCAGCAAAGGCGTGATAAAAGCAGGACACGTAGGTCATGATGGCCTTCTCGTCAGGTTTGGGTGTGTTTACAATATCTGAAGAAGTTAACAGGAAATATTAATGAACATATAACCACTACTCACACAAACTTTGGGATATTTGGTGAAGTTCTGTCCAGCAGGACAGGTTGAGTATGATGATTACTGTGGCAAAGATAAATTATATATAAAAATAATGTAGAAAGATTTTTAAAGATTTTTTATGGATGTTATTATCATCTGTTTTTAAGTTTTATTTACATGTTACTAAAAGCGCATCTAGAGACTGTCATCTAGGTTATAAATGTTTTGGGGTGCAGTATTGTAAATACTTGTCCCTATTCAAATAAAGAATAAATGAAATGATTAACTGTCAGCCTCACCCTCAGCGTCGAGCATCTTGGGGATGTCCAGGAACTTCTCAGCGACCTCAAAGGCAGTGTTCAGGTTACCAACAGGGTCGTCCTGGAGCCAAGACAGGATTCATGTCAAAAACCTCAGACTCTGTTTGAGGTTTTCAGGTGGGCACATTTTGTAAGGAAAGCCRTGACTTTAGTTAAAATCAGAAAAATAATTAAGGTAAATACAAAAAYAAACATTTAAATCTCTTCAGTCTGACAACATTAGTAGGATTTGGTAAAAAAGCTCAAACTCTGTGATATTTATCACATTTAACCAGGTATTTTATTTGTACTGTCGACAAAATAGRAAAAGGTTTTAAATTACCAATCATGATAAATGACCTTGACCTTTGACCCTTTGATGCCCTAATCTAACCAGACTGAGTACTACCCTAAAATAATTACTGTGCCTATTTATAAATAAACATTTTATTCAGGAGATATCGTGCACACACGACCACCCGTGACAGACGGACACTGCACTGACACACAAACAGCCGAAGAACAGTTATGATGGTTCTAATAAACTGTAGTTTWTAGATTCTTCAATTTGACAATGAATTTGGGGATAAATTAATCATGTATAAATATTCTTAAAGCAAARCTTTGTTGGAGTTTCAAGAAGTCTCTTTATACTCAGACGGCCAGTTGTATTTTGAAGGATCACATTAGAAAAGGTTGATGGAAACAAGACATTTAAAAAAAGAAACGTCCTCAATTTCGCAAAAAATGCTTTTGGATTTCTGGAAGAAAGAGTTAATGAGCAAAAGGGGAGATGGAAATACATTTACCAGATAAAATGGGAACAATCCTAATTCATATTTATTTATTAAATCACTTTAAAAGTGTGCTCAAAAGTCACATTACAATTGGATGGAAACACAGCCAGTGACCCCCACCAGTAATGTTTGTGTTCTCACTTCTGATTGGCCAAGCTCGGCTGTTTTACAGTTGCTCAGTGAAAAGGTGATTTTCCTCACAGTTCCCGGTCTGTGTTTAAGGTGAGGTTTCAGAAGGTCGTGTGTGGCGCAGTCTAAGTACTGGTTATAATAATCAATCCCCGGGTTTAAAACAGAGCAGAAAAGCAAAGAAATGGAGGACAGGTCACCTTTCTCAGCTTGGAGTAGTCGATGAGGTCAGGTCTGTGTCTGTGGATGAGGGCACACAGGGCCAGACCATCCTTCCAACTGAAGGAGGAAGAGGAGAGGAGACAGAGCTTCGCAGTTATAAAGGAATGAACAGAACAGAAAAGATAATCTGGGGGATTGCAGTGTCCTGTTGTTGCCACGGGATGACGCTGCACACCAACCTGATGTGGAAGTTCTGCACGTTGACGTTCCTGTAGGGGGCGGTCTTCCTCTGGCACCACAGCAGCAGACCTTCTTTAGCAGAAGTCTCTGGAAACAAGGAGGAAGATGATGAGTTTTTTTTTTTAAATGTCTAAACTTAGGTTGATGCTGGGAATAATAATAATAAMTTTGGAGAGAACCAAAGAAGAGATTTAAAATAAAAATTATTTGAACAGAGTTGTATAAACGGATTCAAATCAAGTTTAATGTAAAGTTTAGTTTAAATGATTTTAAAACACATTCTTTCTGCGGTGGAGCAGAGATTAAAGCTGACTGACGAATAACAAAGGGATTTTATTACAACATGTTGAACAGGGAAATCCTCAGTGAAAGCTCAACAGAACAGAAACATGTGGCAGAACAGGAAAAACCATGCATGTCCACTTCAKAACCAGTTTACCTGCTGACATGAACGATTGATAAAAACAGCTCCAGGCGCTGATTCAGAGCAGGAAATCTTGTAAGTGGACAGGATTACCAAACAAAGAAGGAGAGTTGTTGTGTACGACTACAGCCAGGTTACGCACCGTGAACAGGAACATTAGGATTTACTTAAACTGTCTGGAAGGGATTCTTTTACAACTTTAATGATTTTATTTAAGAACAAATGGGTGTAAAAACTAATATTTATTGTTCACTTTTAAGGTCAGAGTTATTCATAAGGTCTTAAAAACATAAATATTGAGACACATATGCTGAAAGTTTCACGATGTCTTGACTGGATGATGTCTGTTRATTTCCTGTTAGTGATCATGATTAACTGCAGCTAGTAGTTTCTTTTTGCCACAATAATATATTGTTTAGCAGCATCTATTGGTGAAATCGTTATTCAGAACAATGGGAAAAGACCTGAGGAAAGGGTCTCTGCAGTCAWTAAGTGAGAGTTTCTTGTTTTGTAGGAGGAGTCTGTTAAAGACATGATCGGTTGGATTGACTATYTTGGGTGGGAYTGGGTTGGATGAAAGCTGGGCAGCTGGCGGGGGGGTGTAATTCGGTCGGAACAGCCTGAAAGTACTTATAAATTTTAAAAAATGAATATTAATATTAGTCATAACTCGAGACAGGAAAGTGCTAACCACACAAAATTTCAAGTCAATAAATGACGTTTAAGTGTTCACAATAGTTTTACTATTACCATTATGTCATCTTTTAACTGGTCCCACAAGACGAGTCAACAAACCTCGCCCACACTACAAGAAACTCCCCCTATGTTCTGCAGAGACCCCTACTTGAAGAGTCCTTAGACCTCAGTGAAGATTTAAGTATAATGCTGGTATAGATTCATCAACATGATAAATCCAAAAAGCTTTAAAAAACCAAGCAGCTGGACTTCTTTCTGTGACTGTGTAGGAGGGCTGGAAATGTTCAGGATGTTCAGGAACAACTCAGAAACCAGCAGGAACTGGAGGAACTGGAAAGGGTTTGAACACCAGATCCACACTGTGATGCTTTAAAGCTTGACTGAAAGTCCCAGCTTCATCTCAGATCAACAGCTCGATGGTTGACGTTTGAGGATTCAAGGCGATGATCACAAACACATCAAAACTGGTTTTTGAATAAATAAAATGGRCGAACAGGACCCTACTGAAAAACTRWGAACTGCACTTAAAACTCAGCTACATGGACGTGCCCTTTTCCCTCCGGATCATCGAGTGCCCCTGTTGAACTCTATTTTTTTTAAAGATGTACCTGTGGCCCACGGTCTCACTTATTAACACACACGCACACACGGTGCTGCTCTAGTGAACGAGCTGCACGCCTCCTCTCTCCTCTCCTGCTCAGCAGCTAATTAGTCCTCTAAACCTCAGATGTTTTAAACTTCACTCGCATCAACTTCAGCTCATCTGTGAAGATGATTAACCCTTTATTAGCATAAACAGCAGAACATTGATTTAGCTTATTCACCAACTGCAGCATAATGTCTCGAACAGAAAGATGGAGGAAAAAAGACCTGATTRAACAGGCAGCAGCTACAGAGGAGGAGGAGACAGATGATGAAGGTCAGAGTAAACATCAGTCATGGTTAGAGATGAACAAACTGTCCGTGCTCAGATTTGCTTTATATATATATTTTAATAATAAAAATATTATTATTAAAAGAAAATTTGTCTGTAAAAAGTACCTATAGTGCACAGGTGACAAACTCAAGGCCTGTGGGCCAAATCTGGTCCTCTTCAATGACTTTTTCTGGCCCCTAAAGAAATGATTTAAACGTGTAATGTTCTTATAGTTTCTCTTCTTGTCACTGGATTTAGTGAATTCTTCTCATGACTGAGTTTGAATTTTTCAGAAATGGATAATTTTGATGTGGAAGTTATCTTTCTCTGTATTCTTTTCTTATTTTTAATTAAATAATTGTTTTTAGTGACAGCTTTTTTTTTGCCTGAGTGTCTCTGAGAAAATTTACAATAATAAAGCTTTGTTACAGATTTTTAAGTTTCAAAAATCTACATTTTGTTTTTTGTTTTAATTTAGTTTTGTTTTCTGATGTAATTCCTTAAAAACATTTTTTTTAAAACATACTGCATTGTTGTTGATCTTGTTCTGGTAAAACATATAATTTTAGTACAAAATTCACATTTTAAAATGATCCTAAGTATCTGGAGTAGTATTTTGATATGGGAAGAGTTTTGGTTTAGATGAACACACACCTTCCACAGAGATGTCCTGGATGGCGAAACGCAGGATGATGGTCCAGATCATACCGAGGGTCATCTTCACATTACCGTCAACAATTTCTGCACAAACACAAACACATTATTAATAACAGCAATGACTCTACTCAGGGGTCTTCATTACAGTGGTCCTCAGAGCTGGTCCTGCATGTTTTCTCTGCTCTTCAGCAAGCCTTCAGGTTCTGCAGAAACCTGTCAATCACTCATTTATTCAGACCAGGTGTGTCAACTCAGAGACACGTCTAAAACATGAAGGATCACGACCTTTGAGGAGCAGGACTGGACACCTCGGCTTCAGCAGGTGTCTGGTTGCCARTGAAATATTTTTAAAATGTTACAGTGACACTGAGATTAAAAAACAGCTCACTCATCGCCTCAGATGTACACTTAATATTACTCAAGTGAATTATTCATAATTGAAGCTAATTTTAAAGAAGACTTTCTGACTTTCTGGGAATTTTAATTATGGAATTCAAATTTTGGTTTATGTTTGTTCGAGAAAAACTCTGAGCTGAAAATATATTTGTGATAATATATATATATATATATATATTATAAAACAGCCCAGTTTTTACAGCATATCTACTTTATAAATACTAGGTACTTACACTAAGTTCAAGGTAAATTTTCACTTMGTAATAAAGCTCAATACGTACCTTTAAGGACATACACAGTAAATACGTTAGTGGTACTTGTCAAGTATGCAATAAGTACCTCATATGTACTTGTACCTGTAAAACCTGGGCTGTATTATGTATTAGTAAYGCAGCTCATGCTTCACTGTGTTCAATTAATCAAACTCTTCACATCCAGATCAGGATAAAGAGAATATTTCTAAAGCTCGGTGTAGTTACTCTCATTTTTCATCAATAAGAAAATTATTAATTTTGAGACACAGAACTAAATGCCATCATTCAATAAGCTATTTTTAAATTTTTATTATTGATAATTTCACTATCACAGAAAAAAAGAAAAAAAAAGGAAAAAAAATGCATCTCTAGCTGCTGTGTCCTTTAGTCGCTCTAACCTTATCTACTGACCCCAGCTGGTCATCTCAGTTTACAGATTCTCCTCACTGCAGATTATCTGCTGCGCCTAAAATAGCCCGCACCACTAAAATCTACATTTACATGCAATGTTTTTAGAAAAATATTATTTTAGGCTCATTTTATTGGATTAGAAATATTTTTTTTATCAAATCACACTTTAATAAATTTCTTTTAAAAACTCATTTACCCAATGTAAAAAAAATAGTAAATAAAAACGAATGAATGGAAAATGTGCATCAGTGCTGTATTTATGTTAAAGCAGGTCAGGTTAAAACTCTTGTTGCATGACGAGTTTATTAAGATAAAGGAGGAAGACCCCTCACCCTCTGCACCAATAGACACCAGTTTGACCCCCTTGCTGCAGATGAAGTCCAGAGCTTTATTCACGTTGGCAATCTTGTGGAAACGCATCTTCCCTTTGTCCGGTTTGGGCAGCCTCTCGCCTGCAAGACGAGACAGAAACAAAAACAGTACTTTAACGATTAACTGCCGCTTCTCAGGACATGGATTTTTTTTATCTTTCTTCATACGGTTTAACAGACGTGAAACCTAAAAAAAACTATTATATTCTTCTTGAAAGAAAAATAAAGGAATACTGGAAAAAACTTACAAACACATGGAATAGCAAACATAATTTTTGCAGACCAATTTTTCTTTCCATCATGTCCCATCATGGAGTAAGCAAACAGACGAGTCTGTGTGTGTGAGTGTGTGTATGTGTGTGTGTGTCTGTGTGTATGAGTGTGTGTATGTGTGCGTGTTCTACCATATGGTACCTTACAAGGCTCATTTTTCCCAAGTATAGTATCTTGTGGAGATCCACTGCTCCATATGTGGGCCAAAGCCTGCAGCCCATAAATTCAAATGCTGTTTTTGGTTAGGGTCAGGGTAGTGGTCAGGCAGGGTTAGGCTACAGTGTGAATGTGGAAAAAAAAAAGAAAAAAAAAACAAATGAAAGTCCCTGTGAAGATAGCAAAGCACCAAGTGTGTGGGTGCACATGTCTTAATATTGTTGTAAGGACATAATTTGACATTAAACCACCCTTGTGAGGACATTTGGCCTGATCCACTCTAGAAACAATAGCCAACAGTAGGTTAGGTTTAGGGTTGGGCTGTAGAAATAATGGAAGTAAATGCAAAATCCATGCAAAGATAGTAAAACCCTTTGTGTGTGTGTGTGTGTGTGTGTGTGTGTGTGTGTGTGTGTGTGTGTGTGTGTGTGTGTGTGTGTGTGTGTG